ACCACACTGTTGCCACCGTTGCCAGTGGTCTCCCTCTGCGGGAGGTGACTGGACCAATCAGGGGAAGGCACTGCCCCCATCCTCCCGCCGCTGCCTGGTCTGCAAGAGGCAACCAGGTGGCCGATCAGGGGATGGCGCCAGTCAGCGTGGCCCTGCTCCCCCAATCCCCTCCGCCACTGCTGGTCGCTGCCAGGGCACCCTCCCTTCCCCCCGCCCCCATCGTCGTCCCCTCCCTCTGCCCACTGGCACGCGCCTTGGCTGGCCTGGTGCCACCTGCCAGCCCCGCCCCCTGCCGACTGCTGTTCGGTTGATTTGCATATTATGCTTTTATTATGTAGGAGAATATTTAGTGAGCATTTGATAAATGAATTTGGAAAAGCTTTTAGTTTAACCTTAGAAATCATTCTGTTCTCCAAAATCAAATAAAATGTCCAGTATTTAACTTCCAATCAGAACATTTGGGTGTGGGGTGGTTTGGATTGTCCCCTCACCCCCACCCCAGTCCTCAGGGTAGGTGAGTGCTGGCTGGTTTACCTGGGCATGGGGGAGGAGTTCCTGTGTGAGGGGTGTGGCTTAGCTGGCTCGCTCCTGCCTTTCTCTGGGATTTAGGGCTGTATTAGAGATGAATTTAATTTTCCTTGATCATCATCCTATGACAAATAAGATCAAAGTCTTATAACAGCTGGAAATAGTGCCTTCTTTTCAGAGGTACAAGGCTGTTGTTTATCACTTGTTCCCAAACATTGAGGACTCACCGCTTCTGGCTTGAGTTTTTAATTGTGAAATAATTTCTTCAGTTAGTCAGTGCATGCCATTGTACTTCTTGTCTTCAGGGGGAAAAACCCACCACCTCCACATGAGTCATTGTGTCTAATCCCATCACAGGAAGTGAATGTGGTGCCCACTGTGTCAGGAAATGTCTCCCCCAGTGGTTTCCAGTCAGCAGCAGCCTGTTGTGCTGAGCTGATGAGCATAAACTAGAGTGAAAGGAGCTGGCTTGGTTGGAGATGAGTCAGTGTCTTCGATGAGCACATGTTCTTGTAGTTGGAAGACAAGAGTAGGGGATGGAGTGGGCCAGGAAAAAGAAGCCAGCTGTCAGCAACAACTGCTCCTGGAGAATTTGCTGATTGCTGGACACCTGCTGTTTTAGATGCTACTTGGGCTAAGGAGGAAAAAAAGTGAAAAAGACGGAAGGAAGGAAGGGAGGGAGAGAGGGATTTGATGCTGTTGGGAGAACTAAAGGAAACAATTATTTGAAAATGAAGAAATGCTGAAAGGGTGGCACAGTTGTTGGTCACGGGCCAGGGGCTCCCTTTGCCTTTGCAGAGCTGATTCTGTATTTACCATGTGCCACACAAGGCAGGCATTTATATACTCAGATTATAACTTGTAGTACATCGTGTTTATGCACAAGTTATGATGTGAAAATATTTGTGCTTACCCTAGTTAGTGTTAATTACGGATAATGGGTTGAAGCCCTTCTAAGGGTAATTAACCACCTCTGTAGGAGCACATTTCGGTTTTGCTACCTGGGATCTTCCTCACAGCAGAATACAAGCATTACAGAAAAATGCTTCCAGTTCCTATTCGGTTAGATGTTGGAAAGCTAGAAGCTGGCATGCAGATGTTTGGCTCGCAAAGACTCAGCCTTACCTCTCTACCTCTCACCTTTCCAAATCTAAATGCCTGCTCGTACTCGGGCACACCTGAATGTCCTAGCCTTCTGAGGACTCTGTCTACCTGTCTGTACTTCACTCCACCCTTCTCCATTCAACAATCCATGTTTTGGGAGGGTTCTCAAACTTCGTCTTGCTGCAGGAAGTTCAGCACAGCCCTGGTTGGGGCCAGTGATAGTAGCAAAGGTTTATTAGGTTTGCAGGTACACTCAGCCTCCAGCCATGGACCAGGAGGAGAGCCTGTCAGCCAGGGACCTGACTCTGTGGAGGTGTTCACTAGTTAAGCCCTTCATCACCTCCTCTGACCTGACTTCTCAGGATCACCTCATCATCACCTAAACCATCATCTAGTTGGTTTTTCTCTTATCCCCTCCCACCTCATTCAACAATAGTTAAGAATTGCTGATGTTTTCTGTGGAAGGGAAATCTGGGATTGTATTAGCAACCTCTTAAAATAGGTCAGGGCCTTTTGAAGAGCTGGTCAACTCTTTGAGAGGGGATAGGAGGTAAGTGAGGTACCATGTCTCAGACACCTGCTTGTTGTTTCTGTGATTTCTGGTCATTCAAGCACTGGACTTTCAATAGTTCCTGTCCCTGAATGCTCATAAAGCATGAGTGTGTTTGTTAGAGCCACTTGGGGGTTTATGATTTTGTGGACGTGAGTTTATATTGGGAAGTTCCTGGGTTCATAACTGCAGCCCTCCTGGCTCAAAACTCTTGTGCTCGCTGCGGCAGCACATATACTAAAATTGGAATGATACAGAGAAGACTAGCATGGCCCCTGCACAAGGATGACATGCAAATTCGTGAAGCATTCCATAATTAAAAAGAAAAAACTTTTTTACAGTGGGCCACCACAATGTCCGATTTCATCCTTTTATGGTTTGGCCTATAACACTGCTCATATCCACAAGGACTTCACTCTGATCATGTCCCCCTCCTCCCCCCTCAAAAACCAAACCAAACCAAACCCAAACTCCTCTTTGTTTACTTTTCAACAGTTTTTGTGCTGAAAGCATTTAGTTTTCTAACAACTATTAGACTACATTTATTTTAGATTCCATAGAGGCAGAGGCAGTTGTTCCTAATAATTTTGTAACGAAGTGACTAAACAATTTGTTTTATTGACTCTTAATCATTTCCTGTGCCCTGCCTCTGTGTGTGAGAGAGAGATTGGCTTTGGCTATCACCAGTTATTCATTTGCTTCCCTGAGGAGCCCTAGGTCCTGGTTCAATTTAGCACAGAATGACTCTTGTACAGAATGTGCAGACGCTTTTAGGGGAACTTTGAGAACTAATGAGGAATGGGTAACAGATAAAGTGCCTCAAACACATACTAATGAGGACATGGGAGGCAGTGGAATCTGACTGTAGCATGGAGGGGAGGAGGGGTGTGGCCAGAGCTCCGGTGGTTTCAGCTCCCACAGTCCTTGGAGTAGGATAGCACACTTGCCCCTCTTACAGATCATGCACAATCCATGCCGTTTCCCTCCCTGTGTCATCTGATGGAGCTCAGAATTGCTATGGAAACAGATGGGACCTCGCTGGGGAGAATCTCATTGAATCCCACTCTCTCACAGGAATCTCCTTGCTTCTTCTGTTGCTTCTGTTGCAGTTTACCTGGGGGTCCCACAAGCCTTAGCTGGCCTAATTTTTAAATGCAACTTGAGATTCTGTGAGCTGAGTTCCTACAATTTATGTTAACTTTGTTCTCTACTCAGGTCCCCAGCAGGAGGGATAACAATGTCTGAGTTAGATAGGTAACAAGTTAGAGTTCCCAAGGTGGCTGATCAGACTCCTGGCTAATTGAACATACGCCCGAAAACTATGGCATTATCTTCCCCACATGCAATCTGGCATTTTACCTTTTTAAAAATACACGTGAAATGGTTCTGCAAATCACAGATTTCTCGACAATTAACTATGATTTTATTTCCCCAGCTAAATTGTTTAACAATGAAGAGACAGAGAAGGGGGCAGTAACAGGGTCATGAAAGGGAATTTGGGCATGGTGACAGAGTCATTCAAAAAAGACAGGAGAGCCAAACTAGTATGGCTCAGGGGTTGAGCGTCGACCTATGAACCAGGAGGTCACGGGTTCAATTCCTGGGCAGGGCACATGCCTGGGTTGTGGGCTCAGTCCCTAGTAGGGGGCCTGCCGGAGGCAGCTGATCAGTGATTCTCTCTTACCATTGATATTTCTATCTCTCTTTCCCTCTCTGAAATCAATAAAAAATATAATTTTTAAAAAGATAGAGAAATTCTTATTCCACTTCAGTGCGTTCAGGTTATAAAATAGAATGAGAACACTTTCTATCTACCAACATAGAAAAATCTCCAATATATTACTGTTAGGTGAGAGAGGGCGCAGGGGGGGGGGGGGGCAGTGCAGCAAGTGTATAGAACATGCAAATATTTCTGTAAGAAAAGGGAAAATACGAATTAATTTTGTATTTGCTGTTATCTGCATAAAGAAACTGAAGGATACACAAGCCACAAGTAAAAATGTTTATTTCTGTAAAAGATGAGGCAGAGGGTGAGTGGGAGTTAGACTTTATTATACCTTTGTATAGTATTCTAATTCTTGAATTATGACTGTATTATCTATTCAAAAATGAAGATAATTTTTTTTAAAGAGAAGATGTACACTGTTAGGTAAGGGATAAATGAAACCTGATCTTGTTTAAGCATATTTACATATGTGATTTCAGCTATCAAGTTTTAGCCGATGTGCCCTTTGGGATAGGGCAGTGGTTCTCAACCTTCCTAATGCCGCGACCCTTTAATACAGTTCCTCATGTTGTGGTGACCCCCAATTTCATTGTTACAAATTGAACATAATTAAAGCATAGTGATTAATCACAAAAACAATATGTAATTATACATGTGTTTTCCGCTGGTCTTAGGCGACCCCTGTGAAAGGGTCGTTTGACCCCCAAAGGGGTCGCGACCTACAGGTTGAGAACTGCTGGGATAGGGTCATTTGCAGGACCATATATTTTGAGGAGGAAGGTGATAATCCTAGAATTAGAACCTGTATGGCAATTTAAGTTCTAACCACTTTGGTAGGAAATTGGAAAGGCAAATCTGCATTTAAACTGTTTAGCTTGTTCTGACTTCTTGGATTTTTTTAGAAAAACCCCTCCCTCCCCCAAGTAATTGAAAACCTTAAAACATGATAGTCATGATTCACAGCGGAAATCTCTTGCTGATGCCTCGGTGAACACAGTGGGAAAGTGAACTCAAATTATGGTCTTAGCCTGTTTTTATTTAAGTTTGCATCCTGGAGAAAGTGTTGTATAGTCTGTGCTTTTATTTTTACAGGAGCAGAAAAATTCAGATTAGAAACATCCCTCCTCACCTGCAGTGGGAGGTAAGCCAGTGTCACTTCTGTTTTTACTGTCCTCTCGCTTTCCTTCCTCTTTTAGTTCCCTTTCACAGTTAGGAACTGGAGGTCCTCAGACTTGTCCCACCTTTCCCAGTGCCCTAATGTGCACGATCTGCCATGAGTTTGGGGTGGTGTCTGACCCTCTCATCATGCAGAATGTGCGCTTCGATCTCTCAGGTTCTGTCTTCTCAAGCACCAACAAACTGTAAAACAAAATGTATACCTGGTTTGTGATTTTTTTAAAAATATGTTTCTTAAAATTGATTTCAGAGAGAGGAAGGGAGAGAGATAGAGAGGGCTAGAAACATCAATGATGAGAGAGAATCATTGATTGGCCGCCTCCTGCACACCCCTACTGGGGATCAAGCCCACAACTTGGGCATGTGCCTGGACCGGGAATTGAACCGTGACCTCCTGGTTCATGGGTGGACGCTCAACCACTGAGCCACACCGGCCAAGCATGGTTTGTGACTTTTATCTCATGATTTTGTAAACAATTTTTACCTTTCTAAATTACGATTTTTTGGGGGGGGGGGAATCCATGGAAAACCAATAGTTTTGTTAGTTTGAGCATTTTTTTGTTTATTTTGAATTAACTGCTATGAATAACAGTTAAGATATATTTTCTGAATTGTAAAACTTCTTATAAGATTGCTAACTTCAAATAAATGGACATATGAACAGACTGACAGAGGTTGTGGGGGAGAGGGGTGGGAGACTGGATAAATGAAGGTGAAAAGAGTAGCCAAAGAACATACATGCATAGCCCATGGACACATAGCAGTGGTGAAGGCCAGAGGAGAGGTGGCGGGAACTGGTGGAGGTGGGCAAAGGGGGGCAAATGGAGGACATCTGTAATTGTGTCAACAATAAAGAAATTTAATGCCCTGGCCGGTTTTGCCCAGTGGTTAGAGTGTTGGCCCGCGGATCGAAGGGCTGCAGGTTCGATTCCTGACCCCGGTCATGGTGCAAGTGGGAGGCAACCAATCACTGTGTCTCTCTTGTGTCAATGTATCTTTCTCTCTCTCCCCCTCCTCTCTCTCCCTCCCACTTTCTCTAAAGAAATCAATGGAAAACATATCCTCAGGTGAAGATTTTTTAAAAATTAATAATAAATAAATAAGATATAGAATATGAGGAGTGGCATTATTGCATTATTTAAAAACAATCTGCCTGATATTTTATTCCCCAACCCAAATGAAATAAAAATAGCTGTAAAGGAAAGATATGTTCTGTCTAATATATTCATTACTTCAGAACTTTTTTTAAAAATGTGTTTTTATTGATTATAGAAAGGGAGAGGGAGAGAGAGAAACATTGATGAGAGAGAAACAGCAGTCAGCTGTCTCCTGCACACCCTCCACTGGGGGTGCGTGTCCTGACCGGAAATCGAACCTGTGACCTCTTGGTGCTTGGGTCGACACTCAACCTCTGGGCCACACCAGCGAGGCAGTATTTTCATTACTGTAAAAAATTTTTTTATTATGCAAAACGTCAAACATACACATCCTCCTGTTCTGTAAAATAAAGAGATTCCTAGAGAAAACCAAAGGAAGAATGGTTAAAGCTTCCAAGAAACAGTGAGCCTTGTACTTGATTCTGCTCTCATTTCAAGAGCAGAAAATAGGTTCCAACCATCAGAATGAACGTGATTGACAGTTACTGAGACTGAAATGCTGGTGTCATGTCAGGGGACAGATTACTTGGAACCCAGGAAGCACATCAAAGCCCCACATATTTATTCAGGTCCAACTGTTTTTATGGAAGACTTGAAATATCAATTTAATTGTGTTAGTCCTGTCACCGTCCTTGTTTTGCTATGGTTCATTTGCTTGGAGAGAGCACTGTATCGTTTCTGTGAGTACAATCTTGTGTTCCCATTCTGACATTGAAGCTTTCTCTTTCAGGTCTTGGATGGACTTTTGGCTCAGTATGGGACAGTGGAGAATGTCGAACAAGGTAATAAGTGAGGAAATTAGCCAACTGAATTTAGAGAGGGATGTTATCTATTATATCTTGTAGGTTGGATCAACTCCTGGGAAAAATAATAAGTTCAAACTCGTTTGAAACAAACGAGCTTCTTAGAGTATATGTTTGTGTATCTATGTGTGAGAGATGTCTATATATAACCCATCTACCCATATCTACATAATTTGTTTTTTCAAGGAATATGATTTTCAGGCTATTTTTTAATACTCTGTAATGGGCTCAAGCATTGGACAAACACTGTCAGGCTGGGATACGCGTAATTCACTTGGAAGTAATTGGATTTACACTATTATAACAGCTTCCTTCTTCCTGGCTAAAAATAACAATCTTGGACCGAGTGTTTCTCAAGAAGTAGGACTCCTATGCCAGAATCCTCTGGAGTGGTCGTAAAAATGCATATTCCTCGGGCTCCCCCTAGACCTACAAACAAGACCTTCTGGGGCAGGAGTTCATGCACCTGTATTTTAAACAAGTACTCCCACGTGATTTTTGTAGGGACTCAACTTAGAGAGCCACTGTCTTGGGAACAGTGTAATAAATGCCCACGAAATACATACTCTTCTGCTCCCTTATTTTTACTTTTACCTTCTAAAACATGATGTGGGTTAGAGAGCGATTGGAACACTCCCTGGGCAAAGGCCAGGGCTGGGCTCACGTTTATGACCTGTAAATCTCAGTGGCAGTTCCTCCTTAAGGCTTACACGTTCCCTCCCCACGAAGGCTGTGGCTACTTTGAAGTTATGGGATAAACTATAACCTTTTTGAGAATCTGATGGAAATTATAAACCAGGAAAATTCATATATCCACAGATTTGAATCTTTGGGTGGGGTAGGGAGAGTCAGGTTATAGAATTCCTAAAGCTTTAGTATAGTTCCAAGATTAAGAATCCCTACTCTATAGGGCAGTGATGGCGAATCTTTTGAGCTCGGCGTGTCAGCATTTTGAAAAACCCTAACTTAACTCTGGTGCCGTGTCACATAGAGAAATTTTTTGATATTTGCAACCATCGTAAAACAAAGACTTATATTTTTGATATTTATTTTCTATATTTAAATGCCATTGAACAAAGAAAAATCAACCCAAAAAATGAGTTCGCGTGTCACCTCTGACACGCGTGTCATAGGTTCGCCATCACTGCCATAGGGTCTTATTATTACTTTGAAAAGGAGCTTTATTGTGGTTTTCTTGAATTATTAGCCTTAACTTCATGTTGTTGTTAACTCCAGGTCTCCCAGTCGCTTAAAACATTTGAAGGGAGGGTTTGATTTAGTCATGTCTTCTTGTTGTTGGTTTTTTTTTGGGGGGTGGGGGGGAGTGGGGATCAATATTTTTGCTTTAAGTTTACTAGCTTGAATTGAACAAATTTTATCTTTCCTTTTGAATTTATTTTCAACTTCTGACTTTGGATGGAGAAGCAAATGAAAGACAATAAGCCAGCTCACAAAATGATTTCTTACTAGCCATCCTTAGAGTTTGTGTGTTCTCTCCTTTAGCCAAGCGAGTCGGGATTGTCAGTTTTCTTTAATATTTTTGCTTTAAGTTTACTAGCTTGAATTGAACAAATTTTATCTTTCCTTTTGAATTTATTTTCAACTTCTGACTTTGGATGGAGAAGCAAATGAAAGACAATAAGCCAGCTCACAAAATGATTTCTTACTAGCCATCCTTAGAGTTTGTGTGTTCTCTCCTTTAGCCAAGCGAGTCGGGATTGTCAGTTTTCTTTAACTATTGTACGCAGCCACTAGGTTTAACTCCCTCAGTCAAGGAGCTCAGTCAAAGGGAAACAAAAGGAGTCATTCAGCCTTATCAGTGAAAGAGAAATAAAAATAAAAACACTTTCTTATTTTCCATATATATCCAGTTATTTAAAACTAAATGCAAATGATAACAAATAAAATTTATACCTTGATAGTGGTATAATAAATTGATACAAACTTTTAGGAAAGTAACTTGAAATTATACATTAAAAGCACTATGTTCTTTTACCCAGTTTATTTTTTCTTCTGTGATTGGCTTTAAAAAGTAATTCAAAAGACCTAAAATTAATGATGTTTGCAACAAATATGGTTTTCGGCAACACTTCTTTTTAGAATAGCAAATACTGAAAACAATCCATTTGTCAACATTTGAGGGATGGTCAGGCAAAAATCATGACACAGTTGCCCTAGCCAGTTTGGCTTAGTGGATATAGCGTCGGCCTGCGGACCAAAGGGTCCTGGGTCCGATTCCGGTCCTCATGTAGGAGACAACCAATCGATGTGTTTCTCTCACATCGATATTTCTATCTTTTCCTCTCTCTCCCACTTTCTCTAAAATCCGTGGAAAACTATCCTCAGGTGGGGATTGAAAAAAAAAAATCATGGCACAGTTATTGCAATTTTATGTAGGCATTAAAAAAACACAAGAAAATGTACAAGTAACCATGCAAAAGTGTTTAAAAAATAAGTGAAAATATAGGTTTGAGTTATATATAAATTGGTTACAAATATGTATATACAATTGGTTACAAATCATTATGAATATAAATAAATAAATACAGAGATTCAAGTAGCTCTAGAGTTAGGGCAGTGAATTATTTTGTGCATTTTTCTCTAAAGTAAGCCTGTTTACATTGAGCCAGAGGGCAGCAGCTTTTTTCTCTATGACAATGTAGTTTTTGCTTCTTCCCCAGTCAACACAGACACAGAAACTGCCGTTGTCAACGTCACATATTCAACAAGAGAAGAAGCAAAAACGTAAGTGCATTTGGGCTTCCTTAAAGGTTTCTGAATGGTTATCTTTGAATTCCATTGAGTCCTGTGTTTATAAACCTTTTTGAAAAGATGCAGACCTTTGATGTATCACTGGAATTCCAGAGCATTTATACCAGGATGTCTCTTTGTTGATTGCACAGAGACTTTATCTTGAGAAATATTGAGCTGTGGCATCCAAACCGAGTGGGAGTGTTCTTGGCCTGGTCAGGAGTAGAGCCGGCTGTGGTGCTGTGGCCGGGACTCGGCTTCGCCACGGGAGCCACTTCCACCTGGAGCTTCCTCCAGGCACCGGATGAAGCAGCACAAACCTTATTTTTTATCCACACTAACTGAACGGACACTCAGACATCCATTTTTCCTCTGTTGAAGGGGGGATCCACCTCAGTGACAGCAGCAGCAGGGAGAGGTGTCTGGAGGATATGAATCAAGGAGCATCCGGCTTGGGTTCTTTTTCCTACCCCCATTCACTCCCTAGTCCCCACTCATGACTAAACTGCTTCAGTGGAGGTTACTTTTGAGCTTGGCTATTAATGGGCATGGGATTGAGGTTTTCAGAAAAACAACAAAAATAAGTTCCTTTTTATGGGAAGTTCTTGAAGGTCACTGTAACTAGAATAGGGTCATGCTTGGTTATATATCCCAGGAATACAGATTTATTTCTTTTTCAAGGTTTCAACACACATGAAGACTGTATATAATAGTAAAAGATTGTAATATATATATATATAATTTTCATGCCGGTGGTGTTTAAAAAGTTAATTTTGTATTGGAAAAGGCAGTAACTCATTTGCTACTGACTTTTGCACACATCTATACCAATAACTCACCTTTGCAGTCTTGTCCAGCTGCCACTTTGGTAGGACCTTTCTACACATTACTTTGCTGCTTTTATTGAATTCAAAAGGTGCTGCTTTGTAATAAATTCACAAACCCTACACATGAAGCTAGTTCAATAGGGTTATTATTTTCACAGGCTGCCGAAAACATGTAAAAAAAATATATGTTCCCCGTCATGTATAATTTTTAGAATGCAATAGTGGGATATTATTTATTCCCTCTCAAATGAATAAATATTTTTAGATAATAATATTTTGTGCTTTTGAGGACTCAAGGAAACAAATGCTCTTTTAACTGCTATAGGATAGTAAATGTTGACACCTATCCAAATGGACACGGGGTCATACTAATGTTAGAATTCTGCAACTCCACTAGGAATTTATCCTGTGTGCACAGTTGTAGTTGCAAAGATGCCCATGGCAACATTGTATATAGTAGTAAAAGACTGGACTTCATCCTATATAATAAAGAGCTAATAGGCAAATGGTTGTCACGCCCTCGCGCCCTTGCGCTGGGGCCGGGGGACCTGAGGCTGCGCCCCCTGCACCCTGCAGGGCTTGATGGGGATGGGGCCGGCCAGGTCTGGGTCTTGCACGATTTCGAGGCGCATGCAGGTGGGCGAGGACTTGACTCTGGGTCCTGCGGCAGGCCCCAGACTCTGACAGGAGGGAGATTTTCATATACATTTTACTAATTTTCTTTCATCTCTGACACTTCTATTATAGAGAAAGGGCAAATAGCAATATTAAAATACTTCCTCTAATTAATTCCCTTTTAATGTGCATGAATTTCGTGCACCGGGCCACTAGTATATATATAACAATGGAGGATCATTTTCAAAAACTATGATAAATCAATAGAATGTTAAATAGCCAGTAAAAATTAAATTGGAGAATATTTAATGACTTGGAGAATGTGTAGAATATTAATGTTTTTTTAAAGGTTAGAGAACAGTATGTATGATATCAATTTATTTTTGTAAATATATTTCTGTTTAAGAAAAATAAGATAGATATCGCTGTTAGGACTTTTTCTTATTTATGGTTATCTGTCTCTGAATTTTCAATGATACATACATACTATGATAAAGAGTCATAATTTTATACTGATATTAAAAAAGAATCTTTGATAAGGGGAGACAGCCTTGGTTGGTGATAAAAAGTGGAATGCGTGATTGTATAGCAAGTGCGGCCAGGCCTGTGGACTGTGATTAGTGTTAATTGTCAGCCACAAGCTCCGAGGGGGCAGGTGGGTGTCTGTGGTGCTCGCGCTGGTCCTCAGCGAGGGTGAAGGGCACTCCCACAGGCGAGAATGAGTGAGAGTGAGGACCATTCCACCAGCCCGGAGGGTCTTCTGGCTGCTGCTCTCTAACGGAGCTCGCCTGCTTCTGCTGCGTTTCAGAGCCATCGAGAAGCTGAGCGGGCATCAGTTTGAGAACTATTCCTTCAAGATTTCCTACATCCCGGATGAAGAGGTGAGCTCCCCTTCGCCCCCTCAGCGAGCCCAGCGTGGGGACCACTCTTCCAGGGAGCAAGGCCACGCCCCTGGGGGCTCTTCTCAGGCCAGACAGATTGATTTCCCGCTTCGGATCCTGGTCCCCACCCAGTTTGTTGGTGCCATCATCGGAAAGGAGGGCTTGACCATAAAGAACATCACTAAGCAGACCCAGTCCCGGTACGTGCCTCCGGGGCTTCCTTTGCTTCCTTCTGAGGGATCCCCTGAGTGCTGGGGGGCCCAGCCATCCTCCAGTGGCTCTTGCTTGCATCAGTGGCGGGGGGTGAGGGGGGCGCTGTGCTGTATGGGACGGTGGCTTCTTTAAACAGAACTGTTAACAGACTAACAGAAAGCCGGGCTTTAATGAGCTTTCATGCCAGTTGCCGGAAAGTTAAGCCCTGAAACAGCAAAGGTTCATAAAGAAGACACTAATGACCTCACAGCCCAGGATTGTTCTTATAAGCTAACTAATGCTTGTGAATGCATCTGTTTCTAAAACAGCAGAGGTACGGAGCAGAACTTAGTGGGATCCTTGAACCCACTTACCTGAGCCCTGACCTCCTCTCCTGAGGCAGAGCGCTGGGCGGTAGTCCTTCCCTGAGACCCGCCTAGATAGGCTCAGAAAAGCTACATCAGGGGAGTGGATGGGTCACTGCTATATTGAGCAAGAAATAAAGTATATTAGCCTTACATTTAGTTTTCTGCCTAAGGAGACTGGACTGGTGGTAGGAGTTGTAGTGAGTAAAAAGACTTGTGGGGTTGTTGATTTTTCTATGTTCATATGACCACAGCAAGATGTAACCAAGAAAGCATAGGACTTCAAAGCAAAGACCCTTGTTCAAGTTTTACCACGTAATGGCTTTACGATCTGGGAAAAATTTTCATCTCTCTGAGCATCAGTTGCTTCTTCTGTAAGCAAAGATTATTGTGAAAATTAGGACAGTCAGGCAGATTGAATGTAGTATAGACAGTCCTCGGGTTACGTCGACGTACATCGCCATCTCCCATTTATTTATATAAAAAAAATAGTTCCGTCATTTCAACGTATGTACATACGTGCTTTATGTTTTTTATTATTTTTTTACCACAAGTAAAGGTCAGGAATTGTTTTTTTTTTTTTAAATTTTTTTTTTTTTTTTTTTACTGTTTCACTTCATTACTGCTGTGTATGTGCTCCAGGTGAGTGACGTAGGTGCTTATGTAGGTGGGTTCCGACTCACAGGGAAATACGTCGCGCCGTAGGAACGGATCTCCGACGTAACCTGAGGACCTACTGTAATTATTATGAAAGCACTTAAATTGCAAAGCAGCAAATTACTGACAATTACTCACATGCCTCGTGCATTTTATTCAGGCCATGGATAGAGTGTCTTGTAACGTGAAAGAGAAAACACAGTTTTTCTTAAAGCATCTGAGTTACTCCCAAATAATGGAAATTTATTTTGTGTCCCAGAGTTCATTATCATGGGAGTGAAATAAAGGGACAGTAGAGAGGGGACATACTAACTGATGATCCTTTTATTTTAAAATCAGCCCTTTTTGTCCTCTCTAAGTTTTCTTCACTTTATGTAAAGTGATTTTTATTTATTTGTCTTTTTTGTTCAAAAAAAATTGTTTAAAGTGGCTTTAAAAGTGCCACACGTTTAAATAGAAGCAAGGTTAGTGCTCAGCGTGTGTGCCTGTTTTTTAGAAGTAGGCTGAAGACTTGGATCTGGGCTTTCTAACAGAGTAAAAGGGGATGCAGTCAATTATGTGATTTTGAAAAATTAACAAAAATAAGTCGGGCCATGACTACCTTGAGAAGCCTGATACAGTCATCAGGCCGCTGAGCCATGAGCTTTAAGAGCTAGAGGAAGGCAGGCTGCCAGTGGCAAGGAAACCAAAACTTAGGCAGAGCGAGGGATGCCTCTGCTTTCTCTCCACACTCAGATATCTAAGGCTTGCTTGAATTTGTGTTTGGATTTGGATTAACACATGGCTTTAAAAAGCTGCCGTCAGTTCAGAGAGTGGCACTGTGCCGACGTGCGTATTAACCCTGCTCACTTTACTCCTCACTTCTACGGTCATCTGAAAGACAGCGCAAAATACTTCATTTACCCAACTGGCTTCATGACCAAGTTGGCCGGGGTCCCTTGTCCCACAGCGCGCCGTCAGAAATACGCCCTGCTAAATGGAGCCGCAAAGAATTCGAGTTTGGCACAAGACCCCCTGCACTGCTTGCCGCCGTGGGGAATGGCACTGGTTGCAAACGTGCTGATGACCACGCCTTGTCTGTCTGTGTCCTTGCTGTACGTTGGCTGGTGCGGCCCCGTCTTGGGACGAACTAGGATCCTGTCCCCAGTGACGACGTGCTATGGCTCCTGATTCTTTTCCCACAGGGTAGACATCCATAGGAAGGAAAACTCTGGGGCCGCGGAGAAGCCCGTCACCATCCACGCCACCCCAGAGGGGACCTCGGAAGCGTGCCGCATGATTCTTGAAATCATGCATAAGGAGGCTGATGAGACCAAAATGTAAGTTTGCGTGCCATGTCCACGTCACTCAGCAGAGATTAAGAGTAGGTTCTCATTCATGGAACACAATACATTTTTTCTCAGGGACAATACCTCATTGTCATTTATATTTGCATGTCTGTGATGATTAGTGATGCCAAGAGTCTTTTTTATGCTTATTGGCATAAAAAATGGCATAAAGCTGTAACTCTTACTAAGTGAAGGGAGCAGGGAAGGATTATTTTTAAGAAATTTGTTTCCAAAGAGAATACAGTGGAAAACAGATCTTGTGCATTTATAATATGGCAGTTTCTCCATTTGTGTGTTTCTCCTGACGATCCTAATGCTTTCGTCACTCACTGGTAATAATTATTGGTAGGAATACATAGACCGGTGCTGTCCAGTGTCATGCAGTGATGGGAATGTTCTATATCTGCCCATCACTCACTGGTAATAATTATTGGTAGGAATACATAGTAGACCAGTGCTGTACAGTGTCATGCAGTGATGGGAATGTTCTATATCTGCCCTATTCAATAAGATGGTGATTTGCTACATGTTGCTATGGAGTGCTGGAAATGTGACTAGTGCAATGGGGGAACTGAATCTTTTAATTTATTCAGATTTGAATCGTTACATGTATGGCTAATGACTGTCACGTTGGACAGTGCAGGTATAGAAGGTGCACTGTCATCAAAACCATCACTTACTGTTCTGGGAAAGCTGTTTTGTTTGTTTTTTAATATGTTTTACTGATTTTTCACAGAGAGGAAGGGAGAGGGATAGAGAATCAGAAACATCGATGAGAGAGGAACATCGATCAGCTGCTGCCTCCTGCACACCTCCTACTGGGGATGTGTCCGCAACCAAGGTACATGCCCTTGACCGGAATCGAACTTGGGACCCTTCAGTCCACAGGCCGACGCTCTATCCACTGAGCCAAACCGGTTAGGGCCTGGGAAAGGTTTTTGTCATCTGCCCCTAAGCCACTTGCACGCTTTTAAAATTGAATTACATTTCCTTTAGTAGTAGATACTGGTAGTGTGGGTAGCTACTTTATTCTTCTTCCTCTCTGTTTTCTTCTGTCTCCTCCTTTTCTTTTACAAAATACTTCTTAGGATTCCTGAGTGTTGTATCCATTTGAAGGGCAAATACAGTTCTTACTAAAGCAATTGCATTTTTATTACAAACAAATTAGTGGTAATTGAATAGATAATGTAATAAAAAGGGTTCTATGCAGTTTGGCAAAATCCACTTATGGGCATTGGTGGCACTTTCATAGAGAAGTACAGAGGGATGAATTGAATATAAAATTAATTTAGCAAATAATGTCAAATAAGAGTGCTCCAAAGCCAAAAAGAGGAAAGTAGTCCTAAAAACAAACAAAAACACATTACAAATCTATTCTTAGATTTCATAAGGGACTCTAACCTTTCACTTATGAACAGTTAATTTCTTTCATTTACTGTATTGCAGGCTTTTAACCCCCCCCCCCAAAATGCCATGGCTTAATTTGAAGAAGTTCCTCCCTCATCCAAGTTATTGAAAACTTTTAAAATAACACACTCTTTGGTCCTTCAACCTAGGTATCAAGCAACTTTCAATATTCTAAATAATTAACAAGACTGATTTATAAATTACGTATTTAAGTTTTTGTGTAGAGCCAAGATAGAGTTTGAATATCTTTGAAATAAATGTTTGGGTGGCCCACTGTGTTAAGCACTGTGTGGGGGTTGAGGCTACAGTCATGAACAAGACCCAGGCCTGCTTTCATGGAGCCTACAATCCAGTGGGAGAGATGTTCACTAAACAAGTAATCACACCAGCATGTAGTGAAGCACAGCTATGAAAAGTGGTGATGGTGGAAAATGACTTTATTACTGGAAGCCCTAACCAAGGCTTCAGGGGAGATGGGAGGAGATTGGGGATTTCAGAGACAGCCTCTCTGTGACATTTAAACTGAGCCCTGAGGGGGATGAGTAGGAGGTAGAGGTTGTAGGGGAAGAGGGATCCTAAACTTTCATTTTATTCATTTACCAAATATTTATTGAGTGCCTACTATGTGCCAGGCACTGCTCTATATGCCAGTGAACACAACTAACCTAAATAAATAAATTAATAAATAAGTATGCCCTGCCCTCTCAAAGTTACACTCTAGTGGAGCTTCTTCAAGCATCCATGTATTTTGAGGCAGTAATAATGCATCTGTTAGATGCTCTTGATTTCAATAGCAGAAAACGTAAGTGGCTGCAGCAATAGGAAGCAATTATGATGCCACATAGTAGGAAGTCCTAAGGTCAGAAAACTCCAAGGTCATTTGGCTCCTGGATTCAAAGACCCATGACTTTTCTTTCCACTTCACCATCTTCAAGGTGTCCGATAGCTTCCTGGTGATGACACGATGGCTGTAGTGATTTCAGACCTGTGTCCCCACAGGATAATATTCAGAAGCTGAAAGAGAAGGCATCTTTGCTCTTTTCTTTTTTTATTGTGGTAATAAAACCACATAACATAAAAGTTACCATCTTAACCATTTTTCAGTATACAGTTCAGTAGTGTTCAGTGTATTCACATTGTTGTGAAACGGGCCTGCCTCTAGCACTTCCTCATCCTGCAAAACCGAAACTCGTTGCCCATTAATCAGCAACTCCCCTTTTCCCTCTCCCTCCAACCTCTGGTAACTACCATTCTACTTTTTCTTTCTCTGAAAGAAAGTGGAATCATACAGTACTTGTCTTTCTGTGACTTGCTTATTTCACTTAACGTAATATCCTCAAGATTCATCTGTGTTGTGGCATGTGACAGGATTTTGTGTTTTAGCTATTGTAAATAGTGCTGTTATTAACACACGTGTGCAAATATCTCTCTGAGGCCCTGCTTCTAATCCTTTTGGATATATACCCAGAAGTGAGGTTGCTGGACTATATGGCAGTTCTATCTGAATTGTTCTGTGAAGCCTCCGCACTGTTTTCCATAGCAGTTGCACCACCAGTGCACAAGGGTTCCAATCTCTCCAGATTCTCACCAACACTTGTTATTTTCTGTTATTTTGATAGTAGATATATTAATTGGGTGTGAGGTAGTATTTTGTATTCACAATGCCTCGTTGTCATTTGTATTTGCATGTCTGTGATGATTAGTGATGCCAAGAGTCCTTTTTATGCTTGTTGGCAATTGTATATCATTTTTAGAGAAATGTCTGTCAAGTCCTTTGCACAATTTTTAAACAGGTTATTCGATTTTTTTTTAATTGTTGGGTTGTAGGAGTTATTTATATGTTCTGGATATCAATCCCTTATCAGATACCTAATTTGCAAATATTTTCTTCCACTGGCACCAGAGTTAAGTTAGGGTTTTTCAAAATGCTGACACGCCGAGCTCAAAAGGTTCGCCATCACTGCCATAGACTGTCTTTTCACTTTTGATTGTGTTCTTTGATACAGAAAAAATTTTAAGCTTGATGTAGTTCCATTTGTTTATTTTTTCTTTCTTTTTTTTTTTTGCCTGTGCTTTGGTGTCATAGCCAAGAAATCATTGCAAAAGTCTAATATCATGGAACTTTTACTCTGTGTATTTTCTAGGAATATTATAGTTTTAAGTTTTACATTTAGGTCTTTAGTACATTTTGAGTTAATTTTTGTATATGGAGTAAGATAAGGGTCCAGCCTCATTCTCTTGCTTATGCATACCTAGTTTTCCCAACACTGTTGAAGAGACTATCTTTTCCCCATTATGTATCCTTGGCACCCTTTTCAAAGATCATATGACCATATACTTGAGGGTTTGTTTCTAGGATCTCTATTCCTTTCATTTGGTTTATTTGTCTCTTGATGCAGTGCCACACTGTTTTGATTACTGTGGCTTCGTAATACGTTTTTGAAATGAGGAAATGTGAGTCCTCCCACTTTGTTCTTTTTCAAAGTTGTTTTGATTATTCAAGGTCTTTTGATATTCCATACAAATTTTGGAATGAATTTTTTTATTTCTGCAAAAGTTGTCATTGGGGTTTTGATAGGGGTTGCATTGCATCTGTAGATTACTTAGGGTAGTATGAACATTGAAACAATATTAAGTCTTCCAGTCCATGAATGTAGGATATCCTTCCATTGATTTCTGTTGTCTTTTATTTTTTCAGCAGTGTTTTATAGTTTCATTGTATAAGTCTTTTACTTCCTTGGTTATGTTTATTCCTAAATATTTTATTCTATGATGCTATTGTAAATGGAATTGTTTAATTTCATTTTCAGATGGTTTATTTTTAGTAGATAGAAACACAACTGATTTGTGTGTGTAAATTGTGTATCTATGATGTTGCTGTATTAGTTTATTGTAACAGTTTTTTTGTGTGGAATCTTTAGGGTTTTTAACATATAAGATAATGTCATTAGCAAATAGAGATAATTTTATTTCTTCCTTTCCAATTTAGACACATTTTATTTCTTTTCCTTAACTAATTGCTCTGGCTAGGACTTCCACTACTATGTTGAATGGAAGTGGTAAGAGCAAGCTTCCTTGTCTTGTTCCTGATCTTAAAGTAAAAGATGTCAGTCTTTCACTATTGAATATGATGTTCACTGTGGGCTTTTCGCAATGGAATTTATAATGTTGAGGTAGTTTTCTTCTATTCCTAGATTGTTGTGTGTTTTTATCATGAAAATATATTAAATTTTGTCAAATGCCTTTTCTGTATCAAGGTGATCCTGTGGGTTTTGTTTCTCACTTTGTTAATGTGGTATATTACATTAATTGATTTTTATATGTTGAACTATCCTTGCATTCCAGGAATACATCCCACTTGGTCATAGTATATAGTCCTTCTTATGTGCTTTCAAATTCAATTTTGTGGTAAATTTTAAAAGGATTTTTGCATCAACATTCAAAATCAGGAATACTGGTCAGTAGTTTTGTTTGGTTAGTTGGTTTTGTTTTTTTTTTGAGGTGTCTTCTTTGGCTTTAGTATTAGAGTAAAGCTGACCTAATAGAATGAGCTTGGAAGTGTTCACTCCTCTTCAGTCTTTTGTAAGAGATGGAGAAGGATTGCTATAAATTAAGTCTTCTTTAAATGTTTGGTAGACTTCTTCAGGGAAGCCGTCAGGTCCTGGGGCATTTCTGTGTTGGAAGGTTTTGGGTTATTCATTCAATTTCCTTACTTATTATTGGTCTGTTCAAATTTCGCTTATCTTTTTTTAATCCTTACATGAGGATATGTTTTATTATTATTATTATTGACTTTAGAGAGAAAGGAAAGGAGAGAGAGAAACATTAATATAAGAGAAACATCCATCAGTTGCCTCCCATATGAGCCTTGACCATCTATAATTTTTATTGAATATATTGGGGTGACATTGGTTAACGAAATTACGTAGTTTTCAGGTGTGTAATTCTATAATACATCATGAATATATTGTGTGTTCACCACCCCAAGTCAAGTCTCCTTCCATCACCATTTCCCCTCCCATACGTTCTTGTACCTCTACTTTGTTATTGATGTCACAAATTATTATTTATGTATTATATACCCATTAACATAGATTTACCGTTTTTGTTTTTGTCATTTAAATTTTATGCATCAAGTTACTATAGTGTAGGTTATTGTGTTTGTGTATTTTTATTAAAGAATCTTACATTTTTATGACTTTGTGTTGCTATCTACTGTGCTTTCATTTCAACTTAAAGTTTCTTGTAGAGCAATTCTAATAGGCATGAACTCTCTAAGCTTTTGTTTTCATGGAAAAGTCTTATTTCTCCTTCATTTTTGAAGGACAATTTGCCACATATAGTATTCCTGGTTGACAGTTTTTTCTTTCAGCAGTTTGAATATATCATCCCACTCACTCCTGGCCTGCAAAATTTCTGCCGAGAAATCCACCGATAATATGGAAACTCCTAGGTATGTGACTAATACTTTTATCTTGCTGCTATCAAAATTGTCCTTTGTCACCCTAGCCAGTTTGGTTCAGTAGTTAGAGCATTGGCCCACAGACTGAAAGATCACAGGTTCAATTCCAGTCAAGGGCATGTACATCGGTTGCAGGCTCACTTCCCAGCCCCAGTAGGGTGCATGTAGGAAACAACCAATCAATGTGTCTCTCTCACATCGATGTTTCTCTTTCTCTCTGTCTCTCTCTCTTTCTCTCTTTCCACTCTCCAAAAATCAGTGGGGGGAAAATGTCCTTGGGTGAGGAATAAAAAAAAAAGAAAAAAGATTGTGCTTTGTCTTTTGTCTTTGACTTTAGACACATGGGTTACAATATGTCTCAGTGTGGTTCTCTTTGGATTTATCCTAGTTGAAAGAGCATCTTGAATCTATATGTCCATTTCTTTCCTCAGATTTGGACAGGTTTCCATCATTATTTTTTTTTTTAATAAGCTCTTTGCCCCTTCTCTTTCTTCTCCTTATGGATTCCCATGATGTGTATATTGATCACTATAGTGTCCTTTAGCCTCTCTTTGCCTTCCTGTATTCTTTTTTCTCCTCTTGATTTCAAATGATCAGTCTTCAAGTTTGCTGATATTTTTCTTTTGCCTGTTTATGTCTGCTATTGAACCTTTTAAATATAATTTTCAGTTTAGTTTTGTTATCTTTAGCTTTATTATTTGTTAGGTTGGTTTTTTATAGTTTCTGTCTCTTTATTGGTTCTTATTTTGTACATGCATCATTTTTCTGATTTCCTTTAGTCGTCTGGTCTTTTTTAGGTCATTGAGTAGCTTTATGACAGTTTTTCACATTCTTTGTCAGGTAGTTCATAGGCCTGCATCTAGGATCCGTTTCTGGAGTTTTCTTTTGATCCTTTGGTTAGTCATTGTTTCCCTGTTTCTTTGTATGTCTTGTAGTGTTTTTGCTGGAATTTACAGCCACCTCTCTGTCTTTGCCTCCTGACTTCATTCAGGGAAGAACTTCACTAATGAGCCTGGCTGCAGGTTCTAGATCTCTCAAACCTTTTTGATCTCTTTCTCCCCCTGGCTTCTGACTGTGTAACTGCAGCTCTAACATACTGGTTACCTCTGTTTTCACCACCTTCCACACTCCGGTGCCAGTCTCGTCAGCCCTCCAAGTCAGGAGAGACAGAAACCAATCTCTTGGGTAGCCCCCAGACAATCCAGAATGTTGGACTCATACTCCAGTCTTTTGTTTTTGTTTTAAAGGGAGGAACCCTGGTATGAAGGATTGCTTCTTAGTTGCTCCTGGCTATGCTGTGTAGGGGAAGGAACATGAACAGGCATGCCAGATACCACAATTTTCCTTCCCCTTTTGCTGGAATTTCTTCTTGGTTTTATAATAGCCTGGGTGCTATAGCTTCTCAGTTGATCTCTAGGGTTCTCATAGAGGTATTTGTCTGTTGTTAACTTGGTATCTCTCGGGGGGGGGGCAGGGAGGGTAGGAGGATGTGAAGCTTTCTGGTTTGTCATCTGACTAATGTCATTAACCCTTGTACCTTTTTAAAAAATATATATTTTATTGATTTTTTTACAGAGAGGGATAGAGGGTTAGAAACATCGATGAGAGAGAAACATCGATCAACCGCCTCTTGCACACCCCCTACTGGGGATGTGCCCGCAACTGAGGTACATGCCCTTGACTGGAACCAAACCTGGGACCCCTCAGTCTGTAGGCCGACACTCTATCCACTGAGCCAAACTGGCCAGGGCAACCCTTGTACCTTTTTAAGAGCAAGGAAAGCCTTCCTAAAGTCACCTAACAGATTTCTCCTTATATCTCATTGTCCATGTCTACCTCTTGGACTTACTCCTAATCAGGCACAGCAGGGGAGTATAATCATCATGGCTTGGCTTATGTTAATGAGAATTCACGCACTGGGATTAGTAAGGGACTCCTCTCCTAAAGCTCATTACCACTTGGTACCTGAACAAAACAGCTTCTATTTGTAAGAAAAACAAAAGAAGGTAATAGCCTTTGGGGAAGCAATCGCCTTTTCCACCTTAAATGTTAAATTGTTGGTTGTCTTTTTTAGAACCGAAGAGATTCCTCTGAAAATCTTGGCCCACAATGGCTTGGTTGGAAGACTTATTGGAAAAGAAGGCAGAAATTTGAAGAAAATTGAACATGAAACTGGGACCAAGATAACAATTTCATCGTAAGCCACCCATTCAGATTCGTTGTGCCCAGTAATGGAGTATTTGGTCATCTTGCTATGCCCAGTTCATTCATCTGCTTTTCTATAAAATGGGAGTGTAATCAGAAGTCACATAGTTATCTCCAAAACCATAAAGACAAATACATAGTTACCAATAAAATATTTTACTATAGATGTGATCTGTCACTAGCAAGATTTGAGATAAGGTGGTAAGTGTTCTGTACTTCAGTGTGTGGTGAGGAAATTCGGTCTTCTCCCCACCGTCTCCACCAAGACTTGTTTGTTATCCTCTGGGATTTATTTATCCTTATGATAAAAGCAAATTTCTGGTTTTTTTCCTGGTGGCCAGCTTGCAGGATTTGAGCATATACAACCCTGAAAGAACCATCACTGTGAAGGGCACAGTCGAGGCCTGTGCCAGTGCTGAGATGGAGATTATGAAGAAGCTACGTGAGGCCTTTGAAAATGACATGCTGGCTGTAAATGTAAGTGCCTAATGCTTTCTTCTCCTGGTTTTCACATGTTTTCGGTAGAATTCAAGCCTCTCTAAGAATAGTTGTCCTTCAGATAGAGAAGAAACATCTTCTAATAGGTATGCAGAGTTATTGCTGCCTTCTTGGGGCAAGGGCATTAAACTAATCAGGAGACCATTACGATAAATGCACTGGACAAAATAGTGTGAAACCATTAAAATCGTAACTGAAAATTTTAAAATAAGGAATCGTCTATGATATAATGTTAGTAAAGAAAAGTATATAAAAGTGTATAAAATTGGAGTTATAATTATGTAAAATAATATGTATCAAAATGACGAAGGCTACATATAAAAATAGCTTTTATATTAGGAAGGTGGGTTTTTCCCCCAATTTCCAGTTGTAAAAGTAAATACTTTAAAATGAACTTCTGATTTTCATCTCTTGCTTAATGATCTGCTCTTTTAAATTACCTAATAAATATTGTCAACCACCTCAGCTCTAATATTTCTAACAGACTGAGTTGGGTTTATCTTTCCTATTATTGCTATGTAGTTCCCACTTTATAATAGGAAGACACCAGTCTGGCATAAGAAATTTTAAAAGTATTTGTCCATTGCCAAAACTCAACTCAGTAAATGTTTTTATTTTCTATAATAATGATTTTCTAACATATATTGAAGAGGAAAGGATGCTGTAATGCGTCCTCCTAACCCCATAATCCAGCTTCCACGGTTATCAACTCGTGGCCTGTTTTGTTTCATCTGAACCATCATCATCCACTGCACCCTCCCCCCTTTGGATGTCCTTACAGCAAATCGTAGGCCTGGTAACATTTCAGAGGAATAAATGCTAACAAAGAGCTGTGTAGGTTCAACGCAGTTCCCTTCCTGCAGCACATCCCACAGCACCTACCCCCTTCCTCAGGTCAGTGCTCTCTCTCCCACCTGAGCAGCCACATCACGTGGCACTTGCGAGACATGACGAGAAGCGTGACCTTCTCTCCCCATGTGTGTGTGTTTGTCTGTAGAAGTGTCATTAGCATCCAGTGATCTCATTTTCTTTAGGGATCTTGACATCTTACAAGAAACATCTCTTTCTTTGAACACCCTAAAAAGGTCTGGGTGCGCCAATTGTCTTCACCTGAGCCTACCACGTAGATTCATTCATGTCTGTACCAAAGTCACACACTGATCGATGAATAGCAAAACTACTAGATCTTAGATATCCAGTTGGGTAAAGGTTAAGGACCCCAGCCCTACTGTTCCAAACATTCTAAAAGAAGGCAAGTTGGTAGGCAACCCTGGCTGCAGAAAAGAAGGAAGATGTTAGAGATCTGCTTAGGGTTTGAGGAGACAAAGGCAGGAGAAGGAGAAGGTTGGACACAGGCCAGGGTGGGTGACTACCTCTGTCTGCCTTTGATGGGCTGTGTACTTAAAGTTCGACTCTATCCCTTTTGCGGCCACCGCTGAAGTGCCAGCGGCCGATGAATTCAGACCCTTTTGACTTCTGACCAGAGCAGGAACCATAAGAGGCATTTCAAAGCACCTTCCCACATTCACAGGGAGATTATCTTCTCTTCCCAAAGAGCTGAGACAGTAGTACAGTGTTCCATCCGCGCCCATCCGAAAGGATGATGAAGTTCAGGTTTAAGGACACTACAAAGAGCAGCAAATTGGCAAAGTTGTCCAGGTTTACAGGAAGAAATGTGCCATCTACATTGAACGAGTGCAGTGGGAGAAAGCGAGCGGTACAACTGCTCATGGGGGCATTCACCCCAGCAAGGTGGTTATCACTAGAGTAAAGCTGGACAGAGACCGCGAAACGATCCTTGAACATAAAGCCAAATCTGGCCAAGTAAGAAAGGAAAGGGGCAAATACCAAGAAGAACAATTGAGAAGATGCAGAAGTAAAGTAATCTTATATGCAACTTTCATGAAAAACTATTAAAATGGGTGATGGGGCGGGAACACCTTGACTCTAGCCTATGGGAGCATCCCCATGTTTGAATGTGAAATAAACAAGCAAGTGAGATGATCACGAAGCTGGTAACCAAATGGTGAAAAGGCCAAAGTTGTGAACCATTCTGCACCTGGACACGGAGATTCCATATGTGGTGTCCTAGATAGAGTTAGGAAACAACTGTTAATCCAGTATGTGTGAAACATATCCATTCAACAAGTATTTATTGAGTACTTACTATGTACCTGGCACTGAGCCCACAACACAAGACAGTCTCCGTGCACAAGGAAGTTATGTCTGCAAGGGGAAGAGGTACCTACGCAGGTGATACACATACCATGTGGGGAGTGCTCTCTAAGGAAATGTAGGTATGTTAGCACAGAAAGGGCATGTGGATGAGGCCTTCAAGGTGAGAGAAGGCTTCCCCGATGAGGGGACACCTACGCTCAGGTGAAACCCACGTGATGAGTAGGACTCAGCCAGGTGAGGAGCGAGAGAAGCACGTTCCTTGCAGGGTGGACAAAGTGTACTGGGGCCCAGAGGTGAGAGGCACAGGAGTGGCAGGTTGGGGAGGAGAGGTTGGCAGCAGAGAGGCTGGTAACATGGCCTGGGTCCCCAGGAAGAGCCTCATTTGCTGCTGAGATGTGTAGATACTCTCAAGGGTGGCAGAGAAACTTTGGAGGAACACCGTGGTCACGTTGAGGTTTGGAGAGCCCACCCCAGCAGCAGGGTGGGGAAGAGGTTGCAGGGCTGGGGCAGAGCTCATGAGGAGTCCCTGGTGCCGCGGTGGCAGGAGATGGAGGTTTACCCAGGCAAGCTGGGACTCTGCTCGCCTTCCTTCATCTTGTTCTCCATTTCTGTTCCCAGCAACAAGCCAACCTGATCCCGGGGTTGAACCTCAGCGCACTTGGCATCTTTTCAACAGGATTATCTGTGCTGCCTCCACACGCGGGGCCCCGAGGACCTCCTCCTCCTCCTCCCCCCTACCACCCGTTCGCTGTAAGTAGCTCAGCTTTAGAGGGTTGCTCACGCTCTGGGCACTTCCAGGCAGCAGCATGGCTCTGCTGTGTTGCTCAGAGCTAAAGCTTGAACGTGGAGGCCTTGCTCATAAGTGACCGTAGGAGGAATCCAGCATGTCTTAGACTTCTTCCTAATGGACAGATTGATATTATTCCACCTTCCTCTAAACATGTACTATTAAATATAATAGGAAAGAAAGAATCCATTAGCAAAGACATTCACTAGAAGCCTGTTGATTGTAAAAAAAAGGATTTGTTCGTTCAAATAAGACTCTTCCTGAGTGCTGTTCATTCATTAAAATGCTAGGCTAGCCCTAGCCAGTTTGGCTCAGTGGGTAGAGCGTCGGCCTTTGGACTGAAGGGTCCCCGGTTCGATTCCGGCCGAGGGCACATGCCCGGGTTGCAGGCTCCATCCCCAGTGTGGGGCATGCAGGAGGCAGCCCATCAATGATTTCTCTCATCATTGATGTTTCTATCTCTCTTTCCCTCTCCCTTCCTCTCTGAAATCAATAAAAATACGTTTTTAAAAATAGATAAATAAAATGCTAGGCTACCTGGATGTCTCTTTCCCACCTATGTCTGCAACTCAAATGCATTCTGTTTTAATACTAGGCAGATTTTAAAAGAAAATAATACACAGTGTTTCAAAATACTTAGAACAATGCCTGGCGTTTAGTGGGCTCTCAGTAACTGTTGTTGGAATCACATTTAATAACAGAAGAAGAAATGGGAAGTTACGAGTTTTCTGCTTGTTGCCTGCTTGCGACTCCCACTCACGAGCTTTGTTCAGAATCAGGGCATCACCAAAGTGGGAGTGGGGGGCAGGATACTTGCCAGCTGGTTTTTTTGTTTTTTAATATATTTTTATTGATTTCAGAGAGGAAGGCAGAGGGGGATAGAGAGAGAAACATCAACGATGAGAGAGAATCATCAATTGGCTGCCTCCTGTACACCCCCCACCGGGGATCGAGCCCACAACCCGAACATGTGCCCTGACCAGGAATCGAACCATGACCTCCTGGTTCATAGGTCCACTGAGCCACACCGCTGGGCTGCCAGCTGGTTTTTTATCCTGAACTCTATATACATACAGCTTATTCTTAAAGCAAACTTTCTCTCCCCCAACGTTTATACTGTTTAAATGGGAAGAATCCAGTTGGTGAACATTACCTTAGCCACTCCTTTCTTTCTAGTGCTTTGGGTTATCTGTAGAGAGACAGGATAAACCTACTCTGCTGTTTTACCACAAAATACCGACATGAGTGGCAGCCATGTCCTTAGTCACAAGAACTTACACATTTCTGCAATCTGTTTATACACAGATCTGAGTCATTTCTAAATCTCTGTACCATTTATTTAAAATTATATCCATTTTCCCTTAAACTAAAGGATAGGAGCCCAATATTAAGCCGTGTGTGTGTGTGTGTGTGTGTGTGTGTGTGTGTGTGTGAGTATTACAAAGGGTATTACATATGTGTCCTTTTTTTCCCCGCCCTTGACAATCCCCTGGCCTCCCCTACCCCCCAGTGTCTTATGTCCATTGGTTATGCTTATATGCATGCATACAAGTCCTTCGGTTGATCTCTTACCCCCTTCCCTCCTGCCCCCCAACCCTCCCCGGCCTTCCCGCTGCAGTTTGACAATCTGTTTGAGGCAGCTCTGCCTCTGTATCTATTATTGTTCCTAAGTTTATAATGGTCTCTATTATCCATGAATGAGTGAGATCATGTGGTATTTTTCCTTCATTGACTGGCTTATTTCACTTAGCATAATGCTCCAGGAGGGATTGTTGATGTTCCCAGGAGCAAAATAGCTACAAGAGGGGCACGTCCTCATATCTTTGCTATGAGATTTGAGAATGAATGAGTTTGGCACAAGTCAGTGGCATTGAGACACACTTCATTTCTTAGGAGAAAGACTGTATATACTGCCTACAGAAGGTAACATAAGGCCAGGCTACCCTCTCAACCTAAATACTTAAATGGGGGTGGGGGGAGATATAATAAAACAAACTACTTCTAAAATTGATCATCTAAAATGGGAGTCATCCTCTGTATTTTTCATCTTTTTCTTTTTTTTTAAACTTTTTAAAAATATATATATTTTATTGATTTTTTTACAGAGAGGAAGGGAGAGGGATAGAGAGCTAGAAACATCGATGAGAGAGAAACACCGATCAGCTGCCTCCTGCATGCCCCCTACTGGGGATGTGCCCACAGCCAAGGCCATGCCCCTGACCGGAATCGAACCTGGGACCCTTCAGTCCGCAGGCCGATGCTCTATCCACTGGGCCAAACCGGTCAGGGCCATCTTTTTCTTAATGATTTGTAACAACTGTTTACATATTAAGGCTCTTAACCATTTGTCATATTGTAAATGTTTTTTTTCAACAGTTTATCATTTCTCTTCGCTTTATTTGTGGTGTCCTGTGCCATAATAATTTAAAATATATATATTGTGAACAAACTATTGCATGAAGTAAAATGTAACTGTTTCCCTTCAGCCTTCCTTCTCTTACCCAAATTTTACTCACCAGCCATTCTCCAGAAATATAACACTACTATGTTTACATATATTTAAAATGTTTCCTCAGCATATATACAATCATATTATTGAAAAATACAAATGGAGTGAATTAGAAGTTATTTTTTATGTTTTATCAGCATCTTTCCATAGCTGGACCTAATTCTCCTTACTGGTTAAATTAATAAATTCCATTGGATGAATTTATTATAGTTTTTCTAATCACATGAGTTTTAGACATTTAGATTGTTTCCAGGTTTTCTTTGCTACAGAGAGTGTAGAAATGAATATCTGTATACAGAAGTCTTTGCACAAGTATGTGAATATGAAAATTCTCTAAGATTACAGTTACTACATCAAAGGAGAGGTGCCATTTAAATTCTCACGGATTTCCTGTCAACAGAATTTGTGTGGAAATGTTAAGAATGAAGGTAGCTAAATCAGTGATGTTCCCTTTATGGATTCCTTGCCTCTGATGTCATGCTAAGGAAGGAACCTTTTCCCATCCCTGTGTTTACTTATAGTAATTTTTAGTTGCTGGTTTGGGGGAATTGTTGCTTATATTTACATCTGTACCTCCTAGGGAATTTATTTTGACTTATACTTTGAGATAGGAATCTGGCTTTGTTTTCGTTGTGTTTTTTTCCCAAATGGATAGCCAATTTTCCCCAAAATCATTTATTGAGTAATGTACCCTTTTATCACTCAACTTGAAATGTCAGCTTTGCCATGCACTGAATTCCCACTTAGTCATTCCTGGACTCTGTCCCATTACTCATTTTGTTTTTACACTGTGATTACTATAGCCTTATATTCTCTGGACAGTTTTAACAGCAGGCTTCTTCTCAAAGAATGAATGGGAAAGATGACTAACTTTTACTACACTTGGGAAATTGACGAATATGTTGGTATTTTCTGTTTCTTGAAGATTTGATAAGACCTAGCTGTGAAACATCTCAGCCTCTAACACTCGTAAGCTATATGATTTCTCTAAGTTGTTGGCATAGTTTTGTTGATTTATCTTTTTCTTAAAAGTATTCATTCCAGCCCGGCCAGCTTGGCTCAGTGGTTGAGCTTCGACCTATGAAGCAGGAGGTCATGGTCCATTTCCCAGTCAGGGCACTTGCCTGGATTGTGGGCTCGGTCCTAGTTTAGAGCAGATACAGGAGGCAACCGATTGATGCTTCTCTTTCACATCAGTGTTTCTCCCTCTCTGTCCCCCCTTGCTCTCTCTCTAAAAGCAATGAAAACATACCCTTGGATAAGGATTAAAAGAAAAAGGATTAACTATACCTTTATTGGTTTCTTTGCTCACTGCAGACAGTTCTTACGTTCCATATCCTCTAATTTTTTTTTGAGTTGTTTGTTTGTTTGGAGTACTGCCTCGAACAATTCTTTTCAGGAATAATACATAAGTAGTATACTTTCTCTACCTTTCTGTGTCTGAAAATTCCTTTCTGATTCCCTCACACAGGAATGGAAGTCCAGCTGGATATTTAGAAGTTCTAGGGCCATAGTTCCTCTAGCATTTTGAAAACATTTAGCATCTCCTTTTAAGTGTGCTACTTCCCTGATTCTCTCTCTTGTAGGGAACTTTTGCCCTTCTGTCGGATAGTGCTCTGCCTTTGTAGTATTTTGCCTTTACCCCTGGAATTCAGAAATCTGAATCTGAGCACTTTGAAGATTCAAGTTTTTCTTTGCTCAGGAAAATCTTTTGCTTCTCTTATTAATTCCAGCATTGCTTCTCCTAATTCCACTGTGTTTTCTGCTTCTGGAGTTTCCAATTTATGGATAGTGGATCCTCTCATTCTACCCTTCATGTCTCTAATTCCCTTTTTGTTGTGAAGGGGTTAACCTTCTAATGCACCAATTGGCTTTTCAGGAATGTCTGTTCTGCTATGAGTGTGTGTGTGTGTGTGTGTGTGTGTGTGTACACACACACACACACACACATACACACACGAGCACTTACTTGTGATAAAATGAGTGGCTTATCCAAGTATACTTTCTATTTCCCATCGGCCCAAGCTTACATGGCATCAATCATCTCAAGTGGAAAAGCACTTTTCCATATATATACATACATACATATATATATGGCTTTTATTGAGTTTTTACTTCTCTAGTCATGTTTTTAATTTCCAAGATCAATCTACTTCTCTGATTGGTCTTCCCTCATAGCAGTCTACTCAAGCACTGTCCTCTTCAATCTCACTAAGAAAGCAGGTGACTCTTAAAAAAAAATTCTCCCCCCTTTCTGAATTAATTCACTGGGGTCCTTTGCTTGCCTTGCTCCCCTCTTTCATGCTGCTGATTCTCTACATACATCTGATGAGTTTTCATTTTTCATTCATGTATCCAATAAACTCAACAGAGCTCTAACATCTAAATATATTAGAACTTTTCCAAAGCTTGCACCGTGGGCCCCCCGACCCAGTGAGTTTGGAATGTTCCAGGAGAGCAGTGCTGGGTGCAGTGCTCAAGGTCCCAGGCTGCAGAATGAGACAGATCTGTGCTCAGATCTTGGCTCTGCCTCACGCTAGCTTACCTGGTCCCTGTCAGCTCCAGAGGTTGTCCTAGGCGAGCTCACAGAGGGAATAAGGAGGTGCTTGAACAAGCTGGGTAGAACGGTGTACCTTCTGAGTCTTGGAGAGCTCTGTTCATGACCCTGATCCCTCTGGCCAAGTCTACTGCCCTTCCCAGGCCCGTGTTCATATCCCTGGTTCCCAGGGTGAGCACCTGCCCTCCTTGCAATGTGGCATCACACTGTTATCATACTAAAGCTGTTTAGATTTTTTAACATAATTTGTATGTCAGACCATTGCCCTCTCCACACCGCCTGATTTCTTCATGCTGCAGAGTGTCACCTAAATCATGCGTCAGATGGTCACAGGAAACAGCTTGGAATGAAGAACCCTATAGCTCTTCCAGGAAAAGTAGGCCCAACTGTTTAAATTTCCCTTTTTAATTTTCAAAAGTGTGTTTGGTATATACTCTTCTACCTACCGCCCCAGCATAGTCGAGCATAGGGGAGAGGCAGACACCAGGTCCCCTCTGACTCAGAATTTGACATGAACCATGGATAATAATGACCATGGCAGGCGGTGGGGCACCCCTAGCAGCGGCACCTTCCCCATCACACCTCCACTCCCGTCCCCAGGGTCATAATGCTTTTGAAACACTAAAAAACAGAGTAGCTTCTCCATCATAAAATAGCTCGGGACCCTCCAACTGAGACAGTGAGCCCAGCTGCCGTATTGGGGTTGGGGCTGCACACTGGCCTCCCCGCTCCCTGGGGCCTCGGTCCATCAGATGGCTACAACCTGCTTTCCCACTGAGGAAAACATGTATTTAGGTCGTCAACAGGTTACTTTTCTGATCGTTATGACTAAGCACGCTTTGAAAGTCCTTTTCCACTTGAGATGATCGATGCCATGTAAGCTTGGGCCGATGGGAAATAGAAAGTATGCTCGGATAAGCCACACGTTTTATCACAAGTAAGTGCTCATTCAATACCCACGCATTCGGCCGTGCAATGCCTGGTGACAGATTCTTCCTCCTGCGACCGTATTGAATGCCGCGTAACATCCTCCAGGGGTACCGATTGTACTTGGGGTCAATCCATGTCCACACCTGGGCCCACAGGGCCCTGCGTGATCCCGCCTGCCTGCCTCCCCGCCGTACCCTGCTGTGCTTTTATTCACTTTTGCGATACTGGCCTCCTTTCTGTTCTTCAAACAGGCCAACCCCTTTTCTAGCTCTGGACCTCTGAGAATCGAGCTTCGAATGTTCCCTTCCCCGTGCCTTTCCCAAGGCTCCATCCCCTCCCAACTCAGAGGCCACCCCTCCAGGGGTCCTCCCGGCCCCCTCTAGCTAAATCACCATCCCATCCCTCATCCCGCAGCTCCCCTTCCTCACACCGCCCTGTTCATTTTCTTCACAGTAATTGCCTCCCCAGTAGAACGTAAGACCCATGGCGGCAGTGTGACCTCTGTCTGAATAGCTGTGTCCCAGCACCTAGAACAGTGCTTCACACATAGTAGGTGCTCAAATCTCTTTTGCATGAATGGATGATTGAATGACCCCTCGTCAGTGTGATAAGACCTAAATGTCCTATTTTAGTCCATCTGTGGGTGAGGCTCGGGAAAGCTGAATAAATTCCTACAACTTGTAAAGAGCTAGTGGTTCAGCCTGGGGCCTTCTGAGCCTTCTGACTCCAAAAGCCCCCTTTTGTACACAAAGGCCAGCGGCAGAGCCTCCGGGAAGACCGGCTCCTGATTGCAGAGTCCGGGGCTCTTCCCGCACAGTCTTCTAAGCTGTGGTAGCTCACGAATAACACAGGGAGCTGGGAATCTGTTCTTTTTATCCTTTTAAAGCTCATTCTCTCCCCTAACCCAAGTGGTAGATCTACATTTAAGTGTTCATGTTGAGAGAATTTGAACCCGGAATAGCAGCCACGCTGTGCAGCCTGTGTGTTCTTGACCTCACCTGAGTTTCTGGAAAAGGCAAATTGCAATTGAAAAGAATTACTTCTGCTGTGAGGGCTGTCCAGGTGGGAAGAGGGGAGAAGTGTCCTTACCCCAAGCTAGAGCTTTGAGCAGAAAACCTGCAGCAATTCTGCCCCCACCTGCCACAGAAGTGTCCTTACCCCAAGCTAGAGCTTTGTCTGAGCAGAAAACCTGCAGCAATTCTGCCCCCACCTGCCATGGCCCAGGGCAGCCCCCAGAACAGGGACCTGCACAGACAGGGGTCTGGAGCTGATGCTCTTCAAGAAAAGCAGGACCAAGTGAGCCAAACAATTGGAGGTGTGTGTGCAAGAGAACGCTGGTCTCCTAGCCCCCTCTTGTGGGTATTAGGTGTCACTGCAGCCTCTTTCTAAGTCACGAAAGCAAAGGCTTGTACTACAGTGATGGGTCGCTTCTATAAGCCCCACAGGTGCTCTGGGCACCTAGAACCCCTTTGGGAGGCACTCCCCACAGAGATTGCACCTCTCTTTCTCTGAGGCCAGTCTGCTTTCCAAGCTCAAACGGGGAACAGTTTCATTTTGTCCCTAATGTGCCATAAGGCAAAGTTGTGATATGGAGCTCAGAGTCCGGCTGGAGATTCAGGAGATGAGGGAACCAGATTTGCTCAAGGGCCCTCAAGTGAAAGCTGGGACCCTTACCTCCCCGTGTCTGACCACTGTTGGAATGGGTTTCCTGGGCGGTTTCTCACAGGGCAGGCGTGAGGGATTGGTGCCCAGAGCCCAGCTTTCCTCTGATGGGCATGTCGGCGTTTACATGGCTGTGTGTAAAGCACATTTAACCTGACTTTGGTAACTCCGGCCAATGTCCTGCCTAAAAGAATATACAAAATAAGCCCTGGTCAATTAAAGTGGCCGCCTGCGGACCACAGGGTCGCAAGTTGGACTCCTGGTCAAGGGCACGTACCTTGGTTGCAAGTTTGATCCCCAGCCCCGGTCGGGGTGCATGTGGGAGGCAGCCAATTAATGTGTCTCTCACATTGATGTTTCTCTCTCCCACTCCCCCTTCTTCCTCCCTTCCACTCTCTCTCTTAAAAAAAAAATAGAAAAATATCCTTGGGTGAGGATTAAATATATATATATATATTTATATATATACACACATACACATACATACATATACATATGCATATACACACACAAAGAGCCAGGGGCAGTCACATCCAAAACAACCGAACAGGTTGAGTCAGGTGACAAGGCCGGCAGGGGGGTTAGTGAGGGACAACCAAACGACTGAGCAGCAGGCTGTGTGGGGCAACCAGGCCAGCAGGAGGGGCAGTAAGGGGCGACCAGGCTGGCGGTGGGGGGCAGTTAGGGGCGACCAGGCCGGCAGAGGGGGGCTGTTGA